GTTGGGTTGGAGCAGCTCGTAGTACACTACCCCTAGCTGATCCCACCAAATGCAGAGCATGAGCTTGGAACCGTGTATATTCCGCTTTGGCGTTGATGCTACTGCTTCGCCGGGCTTAACCCAAGATTTCTTACGCTTCGGATTACTGTAGTATATCCACTTTTCATCACCAGTGACAATACGATGTAAAAAACCTTTCCTTTTTTGTCATTGAAGTAGCTGTTCACACGTGACAATACGCCGTTCGATATCTCTCGGCTTCAGTTCGTACGGCACCCAAGATCCTTCCTTTTGTATCATTCCTAATGCTCACAGACGTTTTGAAACTGTTCGATCAACTCCTAATAATTTTACAATGTCGGATTGCGTCTGACATGGATCTTGATCAAGTAATGTTTCCAGTTCTTCGTCTCGAAACTTTTTTGATGCACCACTGCGTTCTCTATCTTGAAGATTAAAATCACCATTTTTAAATCGGTTAAACCAATCTCTGCATGTTCTTTCCGACAAAGCATGATCACCATAGGTTTCTACAAGAATTCTATGCGCTTCAGCTGCAGATTTCTTCTGAATAAAATAGTGCACTAAAATTCCCCGCAAAAACGGTTTATTTGGCACGAAATTTGACATGTTTTATGGTACGAAAAGAAAATGTTCTTTATAGGTTAAAGGAAAGACACACACTGATTTTAAACATAAGTTATAGAACTTCAATATAGAGGCGTCATCATCTTTAATTATACACACAAACTTTTTATATCGCATCTGATGGTGAAACGGCGAGAACTTATTCACACTCCTAATAAGAACGGCGGAATTTTCGGAACCCTATATGAATTGCGCGCGACATTGCCGACCACATTGCCCTGCATCTGCCGAAGCATCGCTTGCAGCTGCATCACTTACTCCTGCAATTCCTCGTTGGGGGGAGGAGCCATGACTATACGTGACGAAGCTCGCGAACAATCAGTACTTCCTAACGGCCTTAAATATTAAGGCCGCTTACGCGCGTGCTATAAAAATTTCGATCGCTCAATGCTAATCTGTCAATAATGGAGAAATCGTTAATTGACGTTCGTGCAATTGACCTCGTGAAGAAAAGCGCGGAGGATCTATTTTCCTGTTTTGCCGGATTACGCGCGCTTAAAAACTAACGCACTGCATACACAACTTGCCCGACTACAATGGCGGCGAGGTCGTCCTTCACAGGTCACAATGGCGGGGACGGGGAAAGCGTCCTAAAAACCGAGTTCTCGGCGGGCTTCG